GCCTCCATTCGTCTTCAGCCTGGCTTGCCACGACAGCGACGATCACCATCGCACGTCGACGTCGCTGCATCGGTGTTCGAGCGACGTGTCACTTCCGCTGACGTTGATGGCCCCGTGGCCCCCGATGCTGCTCGTGACGTCCACTCAGATGAGCCACCGACACCGAGATACGGTTTGAGACAGGCGTCACATATATTGGGGGAGCGTGTGCAGAGAGTTGGTGCCCGTGGCGGTCTGGTTGGAGCAGCGGGGGGACGGAGCGAGGGGGACACGTCTAGGGTTGAGGGCCTGCCCATGAGGCCTGGCACCCGTCGCAAATCGGACCTTGCTACAGCTTCGCAAGTGGACGCGAGGAAAGGAGGACAGGTGATTTTGCACGACGACAGCACCGACTGCGCAGCCACACGCCTTGGCACACGGCAGCGGCGAGCACGGGCTGTGCAGGCACGACGACCAAGCACCCCGCCAAAGGCCATGGATGCAGAGGCAAGCGAGGACGAGGCCGATGACGATAGCGGTACGGAGAGTGACAATGCCGACACAGAGGGCGAGGAGAGCATAGAGGAGAGCACTGATAAGGAGACCGACGTCGACGTCGATGACGAGAGCGACGACGAGGGCAGCGACGACACCGACGACGACGGCGGAGACCAGCGCGATGCCGACAGTGAGGACGGCCCCATTAGAGGAGAGTGATTGCAGGTTTTGTATTTCTTGGAGGTTGGACGCCCTGGTTGCCGATGGAGGTTTTTTTTTATGTTTTTTTTTTGTTTTTCCATACTGCATACCATGTTGAGTCGGTTTTTGCTAGTTTTTCGGACTGCTTCAGTTTACGGTTGACTACCTTAATACTTGTTGCAGTGTACCATAGCAGTGTAGTATTGTAGTGTAGGTTTCACTTTCTTTCTGAATTTGCGGACGTAGATTTTTATGTTGTTTGACAGCGCCGACAGTACGTTTTTGGTATTTTTCCTCCTCTTCGCGTTCTTCATGGAAATTTGCAGGACATTCTCCTCATTTGAGAACAGTGCTGATTGCGTATCTGAAATGTTTGTATAATCATGACTCATGAATGGATGCTGTCATGGATGTAAACACGATAACATGGATGAATGTATTGGTATGTAACATTGGATGCACTTGCAAAAGAAGAAAAAAAAAAACGCTCCGAAAAAACGCTCCGACCCTTGCGTCTTCGCCAGTTGGGAATTGGGGGGCCTCAATCCCCAAATAGTGAAGATGGTGGGGTCTGAGCATTTTTTGTTTTTGCAGGGTGTCCTCGGGTGTTTCCGAGGGCGAGGGAGTCTGGGGGGCGACCCTCAACCCCACACCCCCAACCCTGGACCGCAGAACCCCAACCCTCAACCTCACAACACAACCCTCAACCCCACACCCCACACCCCAACCCTCAACCCCAAACCCC